GCTCTCTTTTTACTCTCTGATTTACACTGGGACTACCAAACCCGCAGTATACGTATGTACGTATTTGGCGTACACAACGCAGTAGTAAATATTTTCCTAGATGCCTGACAGAATATACATACATATACTGTGACCAAACTCTTCCCACAGTACATCGGCCATGACACCTTCCAATTTATATTGCAGAAGTGCCAACTTGTCTCCTCGAAAACAGTAATTACGCAAATCGGATTCTTATCCAATGCGGACTTTTGCCCCATGTCACTCTACGTAACTTTCTCTCTACTGGGTAAGCAATAACGAGACAGTAAAATGGAATATGTCCCATCTTCAGTGAACTCTGTGAATTTTCAAAAAATGAAAAGTCCTTTTACTTCCTTAATTTATTAAAGCAAGAGATTTCTTATACTGGGGTGCCATTTTAACGTTCGCCGAAGATTCGGGCCGCGTCGCCTGGGTTGGGCGACTCAACATCGTTTGTAGGTTTCATTCTCGGTAATACTAAGGCAAACTGTTCTTAAACTTCTTTGCTCGAGTAAAGCAAAGTACGTCTTGCCGTCGGAAGGTGAATATGAGGCCGTCGATTTACAAATTCTTCCATTCGGCACGCCTCAATTCCTCCCAGCAGCTTAATCACCAACCGCAGCGGCTCCGAGACCAGCGCTTCTGCTGCCTCGGCTGTAAGCAGGCCGATAACCTTAACTCCCCCGCATTCTAAGTGATCTCAGAGTGCCGCAATCACACTCCGATGTGGCGACTGCGCCACAATAGAGTAAAAAAACATTCAATCTCCTCATAAGTGCATCTCAGTCTAAATACAATACTCATTTTCAAACAGTTCTCGAGATTTTACAGAATACAAACTGCCCATACCTTTGTTGGTTTTTTCGAGAATTTCCGCAGGAACTTCACTACCATTTTGTACCTTCATTCTACCATTTTGTACCAGCAAATCCACAAGGGAAATATATTGATTGGAACAAATCTGACAAACGAAGAGTACCAATAAGCAATTAGCCACGCACTTTGTTTTGTATATCTCGCCCATATTGATATCTGACAATTATAATGCATCTTTTTACTTTCGATGTAAGAAATGTTTAAAGACGTTTGGAGTTTTCGATTGGTTCAAAAATGAACAAGTAAACCATATCATTTTGTATACACCATGGGCGGTACTTGATGATTTTGCCCTGAGGGCGATTTTCAACCCATCAGGCTACAGACCCTGTGGCTTGAAAGTCGCCTTCAGAGTAAAACCATCTACTTAACGCCCTAGATACATAAATATCTATTATTTTTACTTCCTCGCATACTACATACGTATTATAGAAAAAAATTATGAAATGCTGAATTGAAAAATGGCAATTTTTAGTAAGAAAAATTCGCAGTATTGTAAATTCCTATACAGAAAAGGATTATAATTGTGGATCCTATATGTACTAAATTACTTCCTCTAACACGGGGTCTAGTCAGAATCTACTTTTGGGGACCCTTGATACCAAGAAATTGGTTTACGGTTAATCGTCCGTCCGTTGGTCTTCCTGTGAACAATATTAGGAGTTAAACATAAGGATTTTCACTAAAATTAATTTTCATAGATCGATCTGGCTGACATCGGAACCCTAAGAATTAAAAATATATATTTTTATTTTGGAAGGTACTTTTTCACGACATGATCCAATTATATTTTCATTTTTCTTCCAAAATGGCTTCCATGTGAAGCTATTTTCACTTTTAAAAGAAAGTTTTTATTTTTGGAGATTGCAATTTATTGCGATCGATTAACTGATGTTTCCGGACACGTCAACTGCTGTGCCTTTAGTCCCATTGGTGCAGCGAATATTTTATCGCAGGAGGTGGTGTTGTTTCTCTCCTATTGGATGCGGCGACCTACAAGTTGTATTGCTGGGAATTTTCCCTTACAGGTATCTCCCACCAAAATGGCACTACCGCAGCCGAGGCAAGCTTTGGTCTCCCGTCATGTAGTGTAGTAAATGTATGTGTAAGTAGAGGGATATGATGGATCAAGGAAGAGGAAGGATAGATCGCGCGCGGTCTGTGACCCGTTTGTTAGGGTATTGCTCCGGCATTCGACTGGTTTGGATAGGAGAAATCACGGAAAACCACCGAACAGAGCAGCCGGCCGCTAGAATTCTCCTCCGGACTGCGGCTAAATTCCAACTAGCAACTTAGCTAATATCGAAAATTCACCGCCGTCAGGCCTGAAACTGCAGGGTCTCCCGGTCAGAATCGCTGAACTTAACCGTTTTTGTTTTTTCGAAAAATCTCTTTCTATTTTTTTTGGGGGGGGAGGGGGGGGATTTGCTCTTCTGAGACCTCTTTTCAGAACTTCCCATTTCATTCGGCAGAGGAGGCATTGCACAATACGGTGCCGTATCGTTTGTAAAACTATTTCGAAATACGAGTGAAAAAAAAACGTGAGAGATTGAATTTCCGGATTAAAAAGTAAGAGAACATGTGAATTGGGCGTTAATTTGAGGGAATAGCTGGGGAACATTTGAGGGAAGATATTGAGAACCTTTCGGGAAACATTTTGAAGAACATCTAGGAGAACATCTGGAGGAACATTTTAGTATTAATTTAATTAATATTAAGTTAAACAATAAGTAGGGGTTTTGAGAATATCCAACTGCCTTCAAGCGCCTCTCTACTTACTTTTACAGACTGACTTCGCCTTAAACGAAGCCCGAGAAATTAGAATGTGCAATTTCAAACTATTTTCAAATTTACGCAAAAATACTCATATTTTCGAAAATTGAACAAGACTACATTTGAAGATATGTCTTTGATGAACACATTTCCTTAAGAACAATATTCTTCATAATAATAGTAGTAGGAAAACGCCGAAAAAAATTGAGTTTTTGTAGTTTTCGAAAAATTAGTGTTTTTAACGAAAATGAGAGATGCACTATACTCTTACACGTCCTTCACACTATCCAACAACAACATTTTATAAAAAGCGATGGAGTCATTTTTTTTTGAAAATTTGGAAAATGGCCCTGGGGCTTCATGTAAAGTACACTCCAAAATAACCGAATACAAGGGGACGCAATATCAGCCAATTCGATTGAGGAATATCAATTTTGGAGAAAATCGGCTGAACGGTTTAGCCTCTAGTTATGTTCACAGGCGGGCAGACAGACGTTATGCCGTCAATCGATGTTTCAGTATCAAAGACCCACAAAACACGGAATTTGGCTACATCACGTATTAAAAGTTTTTTTTTTTCTATTCCGGCGCATTCTATGCACAGCTAAGCGTGCGAGTGTCTTTTATAAAAACACGATGACATAATAGAGACATTTGCGTCGTGGCATCTTAGTACAAAAGACTTTTGAACAACCTCGCAGTGTCTTCACTATCAGTTTTCCTTACACCTCGCGCTACCTCCACTGCCTCTAAGCTCCCCTCACGATGAATGACGCCATTTACATTCGTGGAAGAATGTGATCAGTGTTTATTAAATGAAACCATGAATTCATGATTCCTAATAAATGTAGCCTACATTTTGTGAGGAAAATTATAGCTTGTTGCACGAATATTACAAAACTATAAAAAATATTTTAAATTTATTATACGTCAATACAGTAAAAAACTGTGTGTGACATGCTACGGGGAGAAGTGAATTCTGTACAAGTTATCATTATTACACTAATGATCATATTAATGATCAGATTTAATTTTTGACATAATACTACATTAAGGGTTCATCTTTACCATCGTAACCGACTAAAACGCAAATTATAGAAACAATTTTTCGACCCTCGATGATCTTCTTTCGAAGCTTATTTAACCAAATAAAATGGTTTTGTTCTTGATGCGTGAGCTACATTTTTAAGGCTACTAATTTTTTGTATGTAATAATCGATTTGTTCATCTTCTGCTCCCAAGGTCCTAACTGGCAAAAGTCATGTAATTATTCAATAAAAAACGTTAATATTTTATTTATCATATGCTACATAATATTGAAAGATTTTTTAAGCTGACCTTATTTTTGATAATTTGATAATATTGACCTCATTTTCAAATTACTGTAACTATAGAATCCACGGCCTTTCCTCAAACAGAAAACAATATCTGTTACATTATAGTAATATAATTTATATTGTAATTTGTAATTTACAACACATTTATACATAATTGATCATTCATTATATTAATAACGCACAAAATGTATATTTGAATTAAGCGGTGAAGTTATCCAACATATCGATTACTTTCGACAAAATAATAAGCTTTCAATAATGTCCTGATTTCCTATTCATGATTTCGCCTCTACACTTTCCAGAAGCGAATCCAGACAGATTGTGCCGAATTAGTTTCTTTCCTTTAGATTCTGTCAAAATCGAAAGAAACTGCATCAAAGAATTTGCAGCAGAACTTCCCGAAGGAAATTGAATTTTGTAGTAATAACCAAAGAGTTCTTATAGAAATCAGTGCTGTCTCAACTTAGGATTCTTGTGAGAAATTTCTTTTTACTAAAGGACTTCTATTTCTGTTAAAATCGAGTGATGAAAAATATTTCTTTCGGCATTTTCAAGAAATTTAGTAAATAAACACGTAAAACTTTACCAGTTGATCCTTCTCTGTGAAGTTGACGTGGTTCCTCCCCATCCGGGCACAGTAGAGCAGAAACGGGACCCGTCATTCGGAGGCCAGGCCCAGGACTTGTGGGCTCTGTAGTATTTCGCCTGTGGTACGACGAATGGCGGTGATGTGTTGTGGTGGTTAATGCAAGATTTTGCTGTATGTTAGTGAAAATGACTTCTACAGGCATTATACCGACATACCAACGATTTGTGAATGGTGTACCAGTCCCGTCTTTTTCCCGACGGTCTTTTAGGCCGAGGGAAAAATATTTAATTTTATTAGTGTTCTTCACGTTTGGTGTTGTCTGTGTAGGAGCTTTCTTTTTTCTCCCTGAATTTAGAGGAGGTTCAGGGACTGTGAATAGTGTGTATAGTGTGTATAAACATATGCAGAAAGCAGGACCAGAATTATTAATTCCAGCTCCACCGCCTGCAGATGAAGTGAACGAAATTCCTGGAGGTGGCAAGTTGATTAGACATGATTATTTTGATCACCCAGATCCTCATAAAATTAAAGACAAGGCAATGCTTCTTGCGAAAATAGAAGAAGCCGACGAAATTGATAAAATGCGTAATCAAAGAGTTCTTGAAAAGCCAGATGTCATAGGACCAAATCCTCCCCTTATGAGTGTAGTTGCCCCTGTGAAAACAGAAAAGACAGTAGAAACAGCTATCGAAGAAATTGGTGTCCCCAAACAAGATTCAGTTGTCACAGTTCCTCCTGCTCCGAGTAATCGCTACCCAGATACAAATGATGGAGAAGACAGAGATCCAGTGGCAAGAGAGCGCAGAGCAAAAGTGAAAGAAGTGAGTATTATGTTTTTATAGTCTAACTTACTTTGGCGAGAGTTGGAATTACTTGTTTTATCATAAGAATGTTCAAAATTGATAAAATTCAAATTTAGCACCGCCTTATGTAAGTAGTATTTTATATCTACAAAGATTTTTCATTTTTGAAGGTTAACTAAAATATTAGTTTTGAATACTTAAGATTTTTAAAAGTTCAGAATTAAATTAGCAAAAACATGATAATTATGAATTTTATCTCTTTAAATATAAACACTATGCTTTTCTAAATATTACACCTGCATAATTGGAAAGAATAATTTTATGAGCCTGGCATGAAGCCTGCTCAGATTATAAATCTCAGCCACATTTTATTTTTAATATTTAGAAGATTAGAGTTTTTCAAACTGGAATGTGCATTGCAATTTCTCTATTGAGAAAATGGATTATTGCGATTCACATTGGTTGTTTTTAGAAGTGTCATTATGACATATTTATTAAAATGCCTGATCTTCTGGAGGTTGTTTTAGTTATGAAAGAAAGAAATTCTCATTGTTTGTTTGCTTGCATTTTAATGTGAAAAAGAGGTTTTTGCTAACTTACCAGTCATTTTAGTTTTGATAATGAAAATCATTTAAATGATTTGTCTTTAATAGATCATGAAAACTGTAAGTAATTAAAGCTGTTTTCCACAGAAAAAAGTACAGGATGGCAACTTTATTTTGAACTGTTCACAAGCCAGTGCATCATCTCATTAATTTTTTTTTCAAAAACTACTATTAAATAGCTAATTTTCAGAATTTCTTCAGTAATATGTTATCAAAATATGCAGCCATTTGATGAAATTTGTTATGGGCTGTTCAAAGTATTTAAAACATGAAACAATGATATAACTATAACTAACATTTTGAATGTCTTGAAAAGCAAGTTTTAATGTTGTAGCCAAGTATAGAAAGCAAGAAATTAAAGTGGTATTGTTTTAGAAGTTTGATGATGTAAATTGGGCTAAATTTGTTAGTAATATAAAAAGAAAAATGTAAAATAGAAGGGTTTTGCTTTGAAGATTTCATATAGAAAGCAGGTGTTAAATTGTATTTTGAATCAGTTATTTGCATGAATTAAAATTGGTTAGCCTGAAATTGCCCATTGCAAGCAGTGTATTTCATACATACTTAAACACTTTAATACAAAACTTTCTTGGTTTCTTACATTTATTTGTTCCATGAATAGATTTTCGAATGTGTTATTTCTACAATCTGTCAAATTGTCTTTCTGAATCCTAAGTAACTGTAGGGTGTCTGTATACAAGGGTTCTTAAAAAATCATGATTTTATTTTAAAAATTTAAATAAGAATTAAATTGATAACTTATATCTGAAATCTTGATTACTTTTAATCCTTGTAGTGTATTATTCTACATAAGTATTCTCTCTTTTTTCCCATTCATGGTTTATGATACACTTACTTGTACGTTGTTTTTAAGATATGTATTGCAAGGCTGAAATATCTCATTATTACTCGTTTTTAAAGGCAATTAGTTACTGTTGAGGGAAAAAAATATTTTACTGCTTTTGAATTTTTTCATTACATAACTAAACAGAAAAACTAATATTTATAGTAGTTACTATATATATATAATTTATATTACTAAGTTGTCATCATTAGCTGCATGATAATTAAATGAAGACAGAAATCTGGTCCTCCCCTCCCCAAGGCCCTCAAGGGCGATTGGTGATGAGGTCTCCAGTGCACTCGGCTGGCAACCTGAAGTACTTTCTATGTAGCGATGCAGTTGGGTTTCTAAAACATGATGTTTTTGAAATAAAATATTTGATTTAAATCATTGGTCAGTTATGATGAATTTTTAAATCTTAATATTTTTCAGTTTTGAGAATCTCTGGACTATGTGTTGACTTTGTTAAGCTTAATGTTTCGTTTGTAAATATTCTGCTAAGTAATATTGTGTATAAACTGCATTTCACATACCTGAAGTTGTAAAGAAAAAATTTTCAAAAACTATTCAGAAGATGCTATTCACTTAGAATGTAGAACAAATAAGTGTGAGATGTGTTCAAGAAAAAACTAGGGCATTGCTTAACCGTAACCCACTTGTATGCTTACCTGCAGGCTTTGGCTTCAATTAGGATGTGTGGCGAAACAGTATCCCCTTTCTCCCAGCGAGTGCAATTCACCTCGAGCAACGTGTAATGAGGAATATTCGGGAACTTAAAAGGATGCCAAGCTTGTGTTTTTATTAAAAATATTAACCCTAAGAGTAATCTGAAAAAGTTTATCATTGTTTTGTTGATCTTAAAATATAAGTATGGTTTTTTGAAATTGTAAACGTTCTGAGTAAAAGCTTCGAACTGAAATAAAGCTATATATCTGTGTTATTTACACCTGTATTTCTGAATTAATTTCATAATTCTGAGTTTATGAAAGAAACACCAAAATAAATATTTATCTTAACAACTTGTTTAAAATGATCTAAATCAGTGATTTAAAGAGACAATCTTTCAATTTCGATTGTGATTACATCAGAGATTTAATTAAATCATTGCAACTCTGCAGTTATTCATAACACTTTTTATTTTAAAATGCTGAAAACAATATTGTCAAATTATTCCCAAAGTTTGCTTTAGGTAGATGTTTAGATTAAGTCCTTGTACTAACCAGTTCACTAATTCAAAACATATGAATTTTTAAATGAACTTGAAAATATGTCGGAATAATGAATACAGTGTTTTATTTTAATTCTCATTTTTCAAAGCAATTGCTGAAGTGTCATTGCTCTGCAGAGTAATGTTTTATGTTCAGTTATCACAAAACTTCTTTGAATATATGCTTACAAATTTAAATAGGATTTTAGGGATGGGATACTGTATATATGTGAACCATATATCTGCCCAAATGTCCAGTAATTAGAGTGGTTCTAGGATGCATGGTTTAGGAGTATTTGCTCACAAATTTTGTTGTTCAATTACATTATAGTCTGATTCCAATACATGAATTTGGATAAGTTGAGTAACTAACCTCTCTTGTGTGTGTCAAGCGATAAAACTGTCAATGGCGCAAGCAGGATTTTGGGAGGAAGGCTGTATTGTCTAGCTGACTTGATGTTTTCTTATGAAGAAAAGTTCATTTACTCAAAATAGAAAAAAGAAATTTTGATTTGTTTTTATTTATAACAAATTCAATTGAGATATTGAATCCCTAACATTAGTAAAAACTAGTTAGTGACTGTGTCACTGGTGAGGGTGGAGAAGGGGGCTGAAGTTCCATGAGCTAGCCCTTCCCCTCTCCTTGGTTGCCCCACTGTAAACAGTATTTTTAATCAAGCAGCATGTAATATTAAGTCTACAAAACAATATCACCCACTCTTAATAAGAACCTTGATCAGGATTATATTGAAATTCAGGTTTAGAAACTTCGCTAGTGCCTAGATAGATTATCCTCTTAGTTATATTGCCAGACTACATTATTATTGACCGAATTGGCTTAGTTGTTGTCTTGTAGAACTCGCTCAGTAATATTTTATCCTATTAGGAGTATATTTACTTCAGAAGTTTAAAAAGGAAAGAAAAAAGTTTACTCCAAAAGTAATTTTTAAGTTTTTTAATTTTAAAATTTTTAAGTTGCATTTATTAATGATTTCTGCAAATTCATGTGGGCAAATGACAAATTCTCCAGGACCAGGATAAGGTTTTAAAGGCAGATGAATTTATTAAATACCTCAAGCAATTGTAGAAGCTTTTGTAATAAATTAAGAGATCAGTGTATTATGATAAGGTAATAATTATGTTGGTTGTATTTTGAAGTTTCTCTTGTCTGTTGGTTCATAAATATTGTGTAATGAATTGCTTAAACTTAACATTTTTACCCTCCTCCTCAATGTACATAATGATATAATTAATTATGAAAGTAACATCAAATTGTAGTAATTAACTTTATATGAGAATAATTTTAAAAATTAAATTTTTTAATCAAGGAAGTGAAAGATCTTTAGTAATGGAAAATAAAAATCTTAGTTTGTTGCATTCTTTATTAATGGAAGTTAAAAATCATTGTTTTCCTTGAAGATTGCAAATTTAACAAAAAAAATTATCTTTTGTGCTGTTTGGTGAAAATAGTGTAGGACAATGTATTGTGGTACTGCTAATTCTAACCACATATAAAATAAGATTTGACTTTGCCATCTTGACGTAATATGACTATTCATTATTTGATATTTTAGAACAAAAACTGCACTATTAAAGGAATAAGTAATTCTTTTTTACCAATTATTCATAATAATGCATTGAACCAAGCATGTCAGTATGTATTTGAAAACATAGAAAGTTAAATGACATACATTTTTGTCATGCATAGTTTTCTGTATCCTTTCATCTTATGATTCTACTAGTGATTGACACAATTTTGGCTGCATACCTTTGACAATCAAGCACCAGAAACGGCTTTTTCCTGGTGGCATGCCAGGTGGAATGTCACATGTGTTAACATCTATGGATATATTTCTCCCAACGCACATATGAGCTAGTAGTGCTACTGAATGTCACAGACTTTCTCTTACTACTTAGTTTCCTTATCTCTTCAGTCCTGGGTATCCTTTCAGTGTTGCCCTGTCGTCTTCTCAGTTGCCATCTATTGGTGCCTATATGACAATTGTTCTCGTTTTCACAATTTTCAGAATCCCTAACAGTAGAAGTAAAATGACAAAAAAATATTTCAGAAAATAAAATCTGGTTCTATGCGCAAATTTCCGTTAAATAATTTGGAATCGTTTAAAAGAAAATACCATTCGAGCAATTTTGAGCTTATGTTTATAGAAAATTTTAGTCTTGAAGAAAACGTCATTGGAAATCATTTGAAGTACTACTACCCACAAATGGAATAATATATGCAAGTCGCTGGTAATGCAATTATTACAGAAATGGGATTTTCGTTATATATCTCTCATGTCTTTAATATTTACATTACCAGCGGTATGTACGTATTATTGCATTTTGAGTACAAGTGTTTCAAATGTCTTACAGTGTTTCTTAA